CTAGAGCTAGTTTCGGTCAGAAAAACATTTTTGTGATGCTACGTTGCTAGCGTTTAAATATATCAACTACAATGTCAGCAGATGGCCTTACATGTTTGTCATGGCAGGAGAATGTCTGCAGTCACACACACGGAATACTCATACAGTATACTGTACTGTGATTTACCGTACATTGTGACCGTACATATACTGCATGTAGCTAACGAGGCTAGCTGTATGCTAGCGCAAAACAATGTATTCATGCAAGTTACATTGTATGACCGAACGTAGCAGAATACCCGTATACGATTGCAATTATAAACACGTTATTGCTAGCCTAATATGAACCACTAGCTTTTGTTCATAGTAGTTTTATTACACTGCATTATAGTTGCCTTTCCTCCAAGCTAACGTTCATATCGTGTTAGCTACCAAGGTAAACAAAGCTAGGTTAGCATATTAGCAGGCAAGCTGTTCATTACACAACTACTACTAACGAATCTAAAACAACTAAGTTTCTCTAATATTTTGTGATTTGCATTTGATTTCGTCCAGCCAGATCCTGGCGGACAATCCATGACGGGGAAGGGATTCTACTACTACTGAGGGTGCTAAAAGGCACCGCACCGACTGCGCAGGCAAGATGCGAGGAGGAGGAATGGATGATATACCGTGTATATATGTATATTTATGTTCATTTTGTACATTTCTAAAAATAAAGTTTAATGGAAATACTTAGTAGGCCTATCCTTTCTTCCCTGAATTCATATATAGCAAACCATGATTTGATTTCTCATCAAACAGTAGTAGTTTATAACGGGTAAAAATAACTTACTCTTTGTTATGAGAGTAGCTCGTAGGCCACAACGGAAAGGCAAGGAGACATACACGAGTTTACAAAACCACGGCACATTTATTGTAGTAAATGCAGAGACAGGTGGTCGAGGGGAGAGGGTCGCTCAGTTCGTCCTTCTGCAGCCGCTTTGGAGAGAGACTCCGGGCCGCTGGGATTAATAGCACCGGCTACGGAGGTGTCCGTGATCGCGCTGATTACCCTCTTCAGCTCCACCCCACCGTAAGACAAAGGCCCTGAGGCCGTCACACTCTTCTATAACAACAGTTAAAAATATATATGTATATAAAATATACCGCTGTACCGACGCCATGATAAGACTGATGTTACGCTGAGAGCAGCCGGGAAAAGCACTGACATGGGCGCAGCCTCTCTGGTGGTTGACTAATCAGAACGAGTGGCCGAGCTGACCAATCGGAGCACACTAGGCTCACAGGGAGGGGGGGGCAAGAGCTCCAACGAGTCGTTTAGTGGAGAAAGTGAATACTGCTGAATACACATGCTTGACAGAGATGCTGTATGCGAAACCAATGTGAGTTTGGAAAATTGCACAGTATAAATCTATTTTAGTATACCTCAACAATGTAATTATGATCAGTGGAAATGGCCATGACATGGGCCCTTTAACACACGCTGACCGGCGAAAAACTCTGCCCGGTTCTATCGGCCCCCACCGCGGAGAATACACAGAAGTGCAGCCATGACAACCATTCTTCTTCGCTGCTTTTGTGGAGGAAGTTGCTGCTTTTGTGGAGGAAGTTACAGCGCCACGTACAGGTTCGGCATATGTACTGCAGCTTTTCCAGCGTTTGGATGTAAACGGAGCTGTCTCGTGGAGCTTGACACAATCCGGTGTATATTGCGTGGGGACGGAAGGTTTTTTGCGGTTGCATTTGCGTTACTCCGATGCGTTTTGCCGTATTTGTCCTCGTGGAGCCGGGGCCTCAATGTGGCGGACCCTCCGCACCAACGCGCAAACGGAGGGGTAGTGTGTAGGGGTAGGGTGTAGGGGGCGGTTTGGGATTGGGCCTTAATGTGGCGGACCCTCCGCGCGAACGCGCAAACTGAGGGGTAGTGTGTAGGGTTAGGGTGTAGGGGGCGGTTTGGGATTGGGCCTAACTCTAACCCCCCCACCCCTTCTGAACTGCGACAGGGTTAGGCTAACGGAAGTTATAGAATCGGCTTAAAAATAAAAGCACGATGTGTTTCAATCAGTGGCGACGCCTGGCCTGGGCATCCGGGGCATCCGGGGCTTTAGCCCCGAATGTTTTTTCTGTAGCCCCGGACAATTCTCCCTCAATAATATAATACATTAACCGTGCTTTACGTGAACCTCATCATGACACAAGAGAGGACGGCAGCACTGTAATTTCCCGTGTTCAGTGAATGCAACAGAGGCATGACACCAGACCAATCAGAGAGTTGCATGGAAATAAACGTGTGCTTGTGTCATTCAAGCTCGGCTCTGTGTGTGTGTGTGGCAATAGCGCATTTAGTGTGATCGAGAGAGAGAGGGGGAGAGAGGGAGAGAGGGGCCGGTGTCAGCATGGACCGTGTTGTTAGCATCTGGTTAGCTAGCTGCACTAACGGACATAAGGAGCTGTTTGTTCCACAAGAAGCTGGAGAAGAGTCCTCTCCTCTCAGACTGAGAGACTCAGGTGAGCTAAAGGACTCTCTGAGTGTTTAGATAGTTAACTTTAGTAAGTTATCTCAGTGGGTCTCAAATGGTTTGGTCACAAATTATTCAAAAGATTATTTCCGCGGCACACCTTCATATGATCATTATAGTTATTAAAAAAAAGAGAATAAATGAAAAACAGTTATGAAATACTATATGGCAGTAAAAAAAGAATAAAGTTTAAAAGGGGAGTGATTAGTAAAATATCCATAAAGAAAAAGTACATCTGTTTACAGTTCTGCTTCATATGGGTGTTGAGAGAGGTATCCATAGATCTCTTCATTTTGCTCTCAAAGTGCACCAGATTGATGCATTTAACTTCAATATTTAAAAAAAAAATCTTCCCGGGGGAACATCCCCCGGACCCCCTAGAGGAGCCACCCACTCATAAAAAATACCACTTTACCCCTGCCTATATGCCGTGAGCTGATTATCGAGCCTTCATTGTAACAGTCGCGGGTGTACTGTGTGTGTGCGTGTGGGGAGTGTTGCAGTAAAAAATGCCACTGTAGTGCCGCCGCCACTGTGGGCTAAGCCCCGAATGTTTTCAGGTCCAGGCGACGCCCCTGGTTTCAATCATCAATAGGTGACAACATTATCTTGATCATTCGAGAAAATAACATGTATATGAAAGTTCAACTTGAAGTGAAAAGTTTCTTGAGGTTGAATATTATTTTGGTTCTTTTTAGCAATTTGTTTTTGATTAAAATTAATTTTTTCACATTTCACTTTTATTTTGATATTTGAGTCATTCTTTTTTTCTGATGCAGATTTTATGCTTTCAGATTCAGAACTTTATCGTTTTTCACTTTCAAATCGTATTTTCTCACTCCAAACTTTTCAAATACTTATTTTTTGTTTGAATAAATGATTGTATTTTTCAAAGTTCAGTATCAAAACTTCAACTTTCAAATACATTTTATTTTATCGAATGATCAAAACTTTGGGCCCAGATTTAGCTCCATACATCCGCTGACGAGATGCGGTCTCTTCTTTACCAGTAATCATCAGGGAACACTTGTTCCAGTGTCTATTTGGTCTATACCAGGGGGGTCCAGCCTTTCACTGAGGGCCACAAACAGAACAATAACTTATAATTAGCTAAATCAATCAAATGTAGGTTAATGATGCTTGATAATAGAATATGCTTTTAGAAGAAAACAGCTCGAACATGACAGCTCTCCAAAAGGTTTCATTTATTTTGTAAGCAGCTCATCCCTTGAAACAGGAGCCTCAGGTTGCTTATAATAAAGGGAAATAATTCAACTTTAATTGATGGAAATCATTTGAAAAGTGGTCTTATTAACTCATAAATATGACTGTAATGTATGTCTACATATATATTTAAGAAGTGCAATATAAGGAGAGCACAGTTTCATGTGTGGGCCATATTCCACTATACTTTCAGAATTTACTGAGGGCCAATTCAAAATGGACCACGGCCGTAGTTTGGACACCCCTGGTCCAGACCAACTCATTTTTTATATTTTAAATGTACAAATGTGTGCTAATTACCCACACCGTTAAAGATGAATAGATATGACAGATTGTTCACAATTTAGATTTGTAAGGAAACTCCTATTATATACGGTATATTATAATAACAGATTTTCGTCCCACTCTGTAGATTTGGGTGAACTATCTTCATTATTTACCTCACAATAACTTTTGCATGTTCAAGAAAGCTATATAAATTTGTACTTGGGTTAAATATACTTTAAATCACCCGAAAATATCTTGTTTAATTAAAAAAAAAATGCTGTTGTGTGGTTTACAATAGAGTGCCACAGTGACGCGTCCTAAAACCCGGAAGTAAGTTAGCATTTTACCACTTCCGGTTCCTTCGACAAAAACCAATGCAATTTCTCCATAGGATTTTGGAAAATAGCTCGAAATAAGGTCTGTGGTTGACACAAATTGAAGAGACAGATCACGTTTTTTCTACCCTACTTTTATGATTTTCGAATCATAAATCTAATCGATAGATTTATTATCGATAGATTTATGATTAGAACATTATAAAAGTACCGGAAGGAGTTTACTTCCGGGTTTTAGGACGCGTCACTGTGGCACTCTATGTCATGGCTCATTAGCTACTGTTTGGAGAATACTGAATGTACTCTTCTAATATCAGTGTAGCACATAATAACAAAGGCCCTACGTAGCTGTGTACGTAACAGGATGTATGATTATTTAGAAGAGCATCAGGACTGTTTTAGGCATATGATAGCTATGTGACAACGATTAACATGATGATTCAGCCTCTATGGAGATAGACATATGACTGTCATGTTTATTGCTTACGCAGGCCTTAGCTAATCTGAACTAAGCAAAGAATACTGCTTTGGACCGGTAGTCTTCCATCTTGTGACTGTGATACTCTTGTATTTACGGCATCTGAAGGACACTGTTCTGGGAACTATTTTGTCCCATGAAACTCTGTATGTGATGACTACTTCCATTCTTGCAAGGATAATAAATACATGTATCCTGATATTGAAGACCAAGCCGGTGACGAGTGATATTTTTCTTAACATAACTGTTCCTTCGAGCCAGATCTAAAGACCTCCTCTTCTCTCCAGACTGGACCTGAAACCGTGCACGGGGGAGTCCAGGACTCCTGAGAAAAGACCTCCGCCTTACTCCGTACAGTGATTTGGTGAATTGAGAGGCCAGGATCTGCTGGGGAGAGGACGAGTGACGAGATCCTAGAACCACCGACCTGGCTCTTTCTTCAAAATCAGGTAGGGTTTCTGGTCATTTATTTAGGTGACCAGGCACTCTTGTTTCTGTGAAACTACATTTAGGTTGAAAGTCCATAGATCCATTAAAGCAGGGGTCGGCAACCTTTTTGATATGAAGTGCCATTAAAAAAAAAAATTGTTATCAGCGTGCCAACGATCGAGAATTATCAACGGAGGGGGGGGGGGGGGGGGGTTTGAGGAGCTTGACGCTGGTGAACTATCAACAGGAGGGCGGGGGGAGCCTCGCTGCGGGGAAGCAGTGTGTGTGTGTACCTGTCAGCACAACTTACATGATGCCGAATTTAACAAATACATTTAATTAAATTGGTTTAAACGGCATAATAATAAGGACGATCGTCCGTTCTGTGATTCTCCAGAACACACATGTTATGATATTAGGGTCAGGCAGAGTGAGATGAGATCGCTGTCCCTTTAAGAGAGAGAGAGAGAGGGGTGTGGCGTGTGCATGTGTGTGTGTGGATGGTAGAGCGACAGTGAGGGAGCGTGTGTGTGTATGTTTCTGGAAGTGAAACGAGGCAGCAGAAAAACAGAGGTCTGTGATGTATTTTGTGAAACAGAAGAACAGCTAAATAAATGCAACGGCCTCCCCAGAAGAGCTCGCCTCTCTCCAGTCATTTAAGCTAAAGTGGGTTATTGAACCTGAAGCTTGTTGCTTCTGCCCTCCTCGACTACGGTCTGGGAGCCGACAGGAAAGTTCAACACACAGATGGCCAGTCCGCCCCTTTGTAGCATATTATTTCAATGAGAGATGAGCAGATCGCCACTGGGCTTTCAACTAAAGACACAGCCACGCAAAAACTGCGGCATTTGTAAAGCTCCTTATGGGTACTGCAATTGGTACAGCCCTGCACCACGGAGGAAAGCGGCAGAAAGTCACCTGGAGTTAAACAGAGCGGGGCTGCGTTGCGTGCATGGCTTCCTTCTGCAGGTAACGGGGAGACGCGCTCTGGCGGCGGTCTCGTTCAGGATCCGAAAATACAATTTAAATATTTTGCACACTTATTCGACTTATTCCTAGTGTGCCACTGGTTACGGTGCCGCGTGCCAATGCTGGCACGCGTGCCAGGGGTTGCCGACCCCTGCATTAAAGGAACATTGAGGGATCTTAAAAATAGGTTTAAAAGATTCTGTGTGAATAATCTGGGTTAAGCCTTAGTATTCAGAGAAAAATACTTAAAAAGAGGTTTGGATTCCTGTAAACATAAATAAAGTGGTTTAGAAGCCTAAGATTCAGAAAACGATCTTAAAATATGGTTTAAATATCCTAATTCTTGGAATTGAAAATATCAAGTGGTTTAAATACCAAAGGTGGGTTCAGGCAACAGTAAAACAAGGGAAAGATAGAGAAATAGAAAGAAAGAGAAGAGATAGGGAAAGAGAGGAAAAAGAGTTGTGTTGTTCATGTATACATTTGAAGGTTGTTACCTTGATGTTTTGTGCTGTTGTCAATGTATGTTTGTTTCAGTCATACTTATTGTTGATTGATTTATGTATTGCACTGTATGGTAATAATGATAAACGTTATGTATATAACTGACATTCCAAAGCAAGGCTGATAAAGACAGAGCCATTGCTGCAAAAAGAAAACTGTGTTGATTATCTGTTCCAACTGGCCACTGGAATCAGATCATTAATATAAGTTCAAGTTAATTTAGAGTTTATTATTATTCAAATATTTGTATTGATTTTCCACATATAACAAACAGCAGCGCTCAACACTCAAAAATACAGCACACACAGAAAGTATACAAAATATCAATTGACACCCAGAAGAGATACAAAATAGGTATATACAAAATAAACATAAATTATTCAATTAAAAACTACATGGTTAAATAACCAAGAGTAAAAATGAAAACATAAATAAATAAAAACAAGGGGGGGGGATTGGCAACGTTGTTTAAATGTCAGAGAAATCGTTCTCAAAGTAGGACAGAAACGGTTGACAGACCTTATAGTACTTTGCGATAGAGCCCCGGGTAGTGTGCTTTAGCTGCTCAAGTTTACGATGGGACATTACTTCCTCTACCCAGCGCTTATGAGACGGCGGTGCAGCCTTCTTCCAACTAAAGAGTATCAGATGTCTAGCAAGTAGGGTAGAGAATGCCACAGCCTCAGCTTGATCAGTTGTTATTCGTGTCTCCCGTGTGACCACGCCAAATAATGCAGTCATTGGGTTAGCATCCACAGCCGTGTTACACATGTACGAAAAGGTTTTCAATATACCAGTCCAAAAAGGGGCCAGTTTTGGACAGAGCCAAAACATGTGACTTAGGCTGGCCGGGTCCCGACTGCACCTGATGCAGGTTGGGTCTAAACCTGGGTAAAATTTGGCCAGTTTACTTGCAGATAGATGTAACCTATGCAAAACCTTAAATTGTAGCAGCCTATGTCTAATGCACATTGAGGATGAGTGGACAAACCGAATTGCTGCCTGCCAAATAGTATCTGATATAGTTATTCCCAGCTCTTCCTCCCATTGCCTCATTAAGTGATTAAGCGACGGAGCGGCGACCCTCTGAATATTGTCATATAATACAGACACCAGACCCCTGTCATAGGGATCCATATTTAGACAGTCATCAATCCAGGTACTCTGTGGGGCTGCTAGAGAGAAGTGGGTCCTGACATAACTACGTATCTGCAGATATCTGAAGAAACATGACTGGGATATTGAAATCCTTCTTTAACTGTTCAAAAGAAATAAAGTGTCAATTTTTAAAAAGATCTTTACAGGGCTCTCGACTAACTTTTTTCACCATCCTCCCGGAACCGTCCCGAAATACAATCTAAGCCGTCCCGAAATTAATGTGGACCGTCCCGAATTTAAAATATTTGTTTTTCTACATTATCATTAGTTAAAATCATTCAAAGTGACCTTTAACATAAATAAAACATCATACAAATCATTAGATGATAATTCATCAACCTTTTTATTTGAGTAAATCAGTCAAACACAGAAACAAAGGCCAAATATATTTAAAAAAAACACACAAGCGAGAAAGTTACTCTAATATTGAATCCAATCAAGTCCCATCCGATTAACAAAAAAATCCAACACTCTGTCCTGAAGACAGAAGACAGAACCAAGAGTAACCACTAACCAGGATGACAGTCTGTAACACAGTCAGGAGACCTTTACAAACTGCCCCGCCCCCTCGCACACAGACGGGGGAGAGAGCTCTCTCGTCTGGATTGGAAAATACATCATAGACGCATTTTGTAGTCTTATTGCATATTAGAAAAGGAGTTGGCGAAACTAAAACTGCAATGTAATGTTCATGTAGCAATAATACATATGACATGTATGTTTTAAATGTCTCCAGTACCGATAAAAAGACCACTGTTGGTACCACTGTCTTTAATAATTCCGGCCCGGGGCCCGTTTAATACCGGGGCTCGGTACCCATCCCTACATGGGGAGAGGCGCAGCATATTGCTAAGGACTAAATGCGATGGAGAGTTCTCATCTCAGCTGCAATGACATGTCTGGAAACCCCCTCTAGGGTGCCCCATGCATAGCGCGTCGTCAAAAGCTGCTTCATAAGTTAAGTTTCGTTTCTCCGCACCGCTCCGGGGTAAAAAAATTGTAGTTACATCACAGCTGTGCGGCTGGCTGACAGCTGTAGCTACGTACTGTGTGTGTGTGTGTGTATTTCGCGGGTTGCTAAATGCTTTGTGTGTGTTTATGTTGACAAGGAGGTTTAATAACTGTGTGCTACACAAAACGTGCAGTCAGTTTCATTTTCATCGCCGTTCGTAGTAGAGTTAGCAGGGTATTTTTATTTTAACTCTCGTCCCAAATTCGTCCCAAAATTAATTTGTATCCTCCCCGACCCGATTTTTTTCGGCCCCGGGACGACGGGAGGTCCTTAAGCTCGAGCCCTGGATCTTTAACACACCTAATCCCTCTCCCATGCCATAACCGCAAAGATGGATCAGTGAGAGATGGAGAGAAATTTACATTTGCCAGAATTGGGGAAGCAATAAGTGCCTGTTTGTGTTGAGTCCACATCTTTAGAGAGCCTTGGATGACTGGGTTATTCGTCCAGTAGTTTTTACTCAAGGGTAGTGGAGCGCAAAGTAAAGAGCAAAGTGACACTGGATTACTTGAATGCTGCTCCATTACAGATCAACCCAAAACATCAGCTTGTGGAAGTTGGCAGCCCAATAATAATACAAATAATTGGGTAAGGACAAACCACCCTCCCCCTTTGGCCTTTCCAAATACTCTTTCCTAATTCGAGGTAAGGCAAGGCAAGTTTATTTATATAGCACCTTTCAACACAAGGCAATTCAAAGTGCTTTACAAAAATGGAAGACATTAAGAAAATGGCATTTAAAATCAGTCATTGAAAAGAAAAGATAATAAAATAAACATTAAAAGAAAAAAAAATACATGGATAAAAGTTACAGTGCAGTTTAAGATGTGAATAGTTCAAAAAAAGTCTTCAGCCTGGATCACTCACTGAACACAGATCCCCATTGTACAGCTTTATTCCAAATAAAAGTGGAAGTGCACTTATTTAATTCCCTAAAGAAGCTAGTGACAGGGGGAGGGTCGACCATCTCTCCATGTCCAGTTTAGCCTTACCAAGCACTATTTTAAAAATGATTGTCCATCAGATATTTGTAAGTGACACAGACACCTAGGTATGTAAAGCTGTCCTCACACACAGAGAAAGGGAAGTTCTGAAATGACATTTGACGTGCTTTATCATTTATGGGGAATAGAACACTTTTACTCAGGTTCAATTTATAGCCCGACACCCGGCCAAACTCGGCGATAAGTTCCGAGGCAATAGGTATAGTGGCATGGGGATCCGAAAGAGAAAGAAGAAGATCATCCGCATAGAGCAACAATTTATGGAATTCTCCCCCCCTTTGCACTCCAATTAGACTAGCGGTCTCTTAACAGTATTGCCAGGGGCTCTATAGCAATATCGAATATCTGGGGGCTCAGTGGACAACCCTGTCGTGTCCCACGGAAAAGTGGGAAATAATGAGATATTATCCTATTAGTTCTAATTGAAGCTTTAGGCGCTGTATAAAGGATCTTGATCAACCAACAAAAAGTAGGGCCGAAGCCGAACTTCTCGAGCGCAGTGAACAGGTAATTGTATTCAATCCTATCAAACGCCTTCTGTGCATCCAAGGATATAATAAGTTCTGGTTCGACATTGTTGGGCTGGTAGAAAACATTGAATACACGGCGGAGGTTGCTTGATAGCTGTCTACCCACAATGAAACCAGTCTGATCAGGATGTATCAATTTAGGCATCATTTTCTCAAGCCTCCCTGCTATTAATTTAGAGTTTAAACTAGGGCTGTCAAGTTAACGCGTTAATAAAAAAATTAACTCCACTAATTATTTTAACGGGATAAACGCATGTGTATTTTTTGTCCTCGGCCGCCCCGTAGTTTCAGAGCGCATCGAGTTTAAAATACCATCTACAAGCTGATGCTGACAGCCCCGCTCCTGCCGCCCGCTTGTGGCAGACCACACTTCCACGCTCACCGGCAGGCCCGGACTGGCCATCGGGAGGACCGGGAGGGTGTGTGTATGTGTGGCGCGAGCGAGGCACACCTTACGTGTTGTTGTTGTTGTTAGCATCTGGTGCTAGCTAGCTGCGCTAACGGATATAAGGAGCTGTTTCAATGAAAACAGAGGAGCGACATTTCGGCGACAACTGCGCCGAGCACTTGACTTTATGCAGGTAGCCAGACAGTGGGACATTGTACGAAAAGTCAGCACACTCAGCACGGATAGTGCGCGCAACATGATTGCAGCGTCCAGGCAGCTCCCGTTCGAGCATATATGCCTTGAGCTGCACATAGCTCCAACGATCCATCACAGTGTCTCCACATTCTCACACACACACACACACACACACACACACACACACACACGCGCGCGCACACACACACACCACACACACACACACACACACACACACTTTGTATTGTATTATTGTATGAGAGAGGTTCCAGGTTGAATTTAGGCGAATATTTGTAATGTTCAGGTTGTTGTGTTTAATATTCATGAGAATATTTGTCATTGTTCAAATGATAATAAACAAACATATAAAGCATATGTGTCCACTCATATGTTGATAAGAGTATTAAAAACTTGAAAAATATCCATCTAAGGTACATTTAGAACAGATAAAAAATGTGTGATTAATTTGCGATTAATCGCGATTAAATATTTTAATCGACAGCCCTAGTTTAAATATAAAAAAAACTATATTAAAATGCTTCAAATTGTTTATCCTATCAACACTAAGCTATTGTGATTACACTGAGCAGTTGACAATTTGGTCTCCTTAGACATTCAATTTGTTAATTATAATTTGCTGCTTTAACTAGAATACTTCTAATCTGAAACCAAGTTTATGAACAAAAGAAGTACAAAGAAACACAAATGACCTTTTAGCCTGTACCTAACTCTCCATTTTCCTGAAAAACATGACGGAGTGGTCAGCAGACACAGACGACTTCCTCCCCTGTACAACCCTCCTGTGCCTCTCTCTGTGGAATCTGAGTTGGCGATTGGCCTACAACAAACAAAAGCCTGCCCTACACTCCACTCTCCCACGGTGCCAACCTCTACCCACAATCTACCTCTGCCCTCCCTCCTCCCTCGGCTCCGCTGCAAATGCCCAAAGCCCCAGCGCTCACCAACCCCCAGAGGCAAACAGAAGACCACCTGGGGAACCATGCCAGCAGTACGTCATCGGGTAGGCAATTCAGATCTGTTATAATCATATTAAAGAGTGATAATGTCAAATCCCTTCTGCTAAAAATAACACTAATGATTCCTTAGATTGGACAAAAAGTCACGGAATGTACACAGAGATTAGGTGAAACTGTGGTGCAATATTTTGCTCGTTTAAGGGTTGTGTTTTTATGCAAACAGCGATAAGACCCAAATCAAGGACGAGGCATCACCATATTCTCAACAGCAACAAATGCCTTTTTGAATGGCCTACATGGCCCAACTTCAGAGTTTGTCCAGAAACATCAAGTAAGATGGCAGACAGCTAGAATTTGACACCCTATGCTGTGCATGCAGCCACAACTATACAGGACAAGAACATTTGAGATAAGAAGAAAGCAGGGTTACATATAATAATGGAAATGTTATGATCACCCCATTTCTAACACATTTTCTGCTCAACTGTTCTTTTCTGAGGTGAACAGAGAGACACTGGCGAGAGCGGAGCCGTGGAGGACGGGAAAGAGGAGGAGGTGGAAAAAAGGGCGAGGAGGCAAACTGGAGGGAGCAGGCTTCACATGTGGCAAAAAAAAGGACATTAAAACAAGTGAGTGGCTGAAGAGAGACACAGAGGAGCAAGCAACTACAAGCTGCCACTTAATCAGGTCATGTACACACACACACACACACACACACACACACACACACACACACACACACAGCACACACAGAGGGAGTATGTGAAATTACCGTTTCAGACACCGACTCTGACGACCTTAATGATAACACCGGAACATCATCAAAATGTATTTGAGATTTTTGAACTAAACACAGTATAGGATGCTATCACAATCGGAAACAACATTTGTAACTTAGGAAGTAAAAGGAGAAGAGATTATTTTCTTATGTGATCCAGGCACATGTAAAACTGACATTTGAAATACATTGATCAAGAAATACTGAGGGACATGCATACAAATGGGAGAGAAATCTTAATGGAAACACATCTATGCACACAGAACACAAAAAGCCTATGGGAAAGCCCAGAAGCCTATTTCAATATCTAGCTATATTGAGCCATATATGTCTCAACAGGAGGGAGATGTTGAATGTTATTCAAAAGGTGTTAGTAGCATTAGCTTTACAACCTACAGAATACATTTTAATTTTATAATAATAATAATAATAATATAAATCCTCAGGGACAGTTAAGACCAAACAGAGGCAACATTTCTGAGCCAAAATATTCTTATTATCTGCCAGAGCCAAAACCATTTGTAGAAAAAGATAAAAACATCGGAGAAAACACAGCAGAAAATATGGCTAAAATGTTAAGAAGAAAAGAGATCACAAGTGTCGTTGTTCCCCCTACACAGAAAACAACTGACCCCACACAGCCAGTGAGACCAGGACAGTGGGTCTTCATCCGAGTGATGAAGAGGGAAACCTGGCACTCGCCCAAGTGCACCGACTGTAGTTCAAGGGGCAGAGATACCATCCTGGATACACCTGACTGTGGAGCTGTTCAGGCCTAAAGACAGGAACTCTACTCTGCTGTGGTGAAGTCTGGCTACAAAGGGAGGTGTCACCAATAGGGCCACTTTTCTCAAACCAGTGAAGAAATCAACAGAACCCAGCAGAACTAGAAAGTGACTGTTAGCAGGAGAACAGTGACAAGTCTGAGCGACAGAAACTGGCACACCATGTACCATGCATGTGCCATCCGACCTCTGCAGCTCATCCAGAATGCAGCGGCTCGCCTGGTCTTCAACCTTCCAAAATGTTCCCACACCACGCCGCTCCTCCGCTCCCTTCACTGGCTTCCGGTAACTGCTAGAATCCACTTCAAAACAATGCTACTTGCGTACCATGCTGTGAATGGTTCTGGCCCTTCCTACATCCAGGACATGGTTAAACCATACACCCCAGCACGTGCACTCCGCTCTGCATCGGCCAAACGGCTCGCTGCACCAGCACCTCGAGGGGGACCAAAGTTCCCATCAGCAAAAACATGTCAGTTTGCTATCCTGGCTCCAAAATGGTGGAATGAGCTCCCCATTGACATCAGGACAGCAGATAGCTTACACATCTTCCGGCGCAGACTGAAAACTCATCTCTTTCGACTCCGCTTCGAGCGATAGAAGCACTAACAAAGAATTTCTAACAAAGCACTTATATACTAATAAAGGACTGGCTTATCTAAAGCCAGTTGAGTAGCACTTGAAATGGTTTGGCTCTATGAAACCTGATGTACTTGATTCTGTTTTCTTCAAGTTTGTATCTTGTTGGTCGAATGCACTTATTGTAAGTCGCTTTGGATAAAAGCGTCAGCTAAATGCAATGTAATGTAATAATGTAATGTACCAGCCAACACATAATAGACCATGGCACCCCTTCAGGAGACCGGGGCTGTGGTTTAAGGGGAACTTCATGCATCTTTTTAGCCCTCTTGACAGTAAAACCATTATTATTGGGGGAGACGAAGACCCTAAGTAAGCGAAAGCTTACATTTGAAACCAATGCTACCGAGACCCCATCCACAGCAACTAACAAATCAGAATCTCAAATTAGAATCAAGAGAAGAATTGTTAAATTGCCCAGTCAAGATGACAACATGATTGACATCAAACTTTAAGTCTAGAAGACCCGAGGAAAAGGACCCCAGGGGTCCCTAACATAACATGCACCACCTGCTTATCCCTAACAATACAGCCCCAAATTGCACAGTGACAGGAGGCCTTACAAGGCCTAACATCCCTTTCAGAGGAATTGACTGTATACTATCTACCAGACTCATTGAAACAGCACTCACTAAACAAAACCTAGTGCAGTACCAGCCCTTGCCTCAACAGGACGCACACAACGACGATGACGGAGGAAAAGGGGGATCGGCTCACTCCTCCCCTGGCTGTGAGCTTTCACTCATGGCCTTGACTGACGAAGCAGAAAACATTGGACTATAACGGCATAAGGACTCACATGAAAAAGTGAACAATCCGATTGAAATTGAAACATTTAAATTGTTATGCCTTACATTTATGCTGAGCTAATTGATTGAACTTTATTTTTGTAATTCTTTCTTACATTTGAACATTTTGTATTTTCAATTAAGTTTTATACTGAGTATTAACAGGAGGGTTATGTTGGTAAAAACTGAATGTACTCTTCTAATATCAGAGTAGCACATGGTAACAAAGGCGCTACATAGCTGTGTACGTAACAGGATGTATGATTACCTAGAAGAGCGTCAGGACACACTGTTTTAGGCATATGATAGCTATGTGACAACGATTAACAGCCTCTATGGAGATAGACTATGACTGTCATGTTTATGTCATAAAGTGCATAAAGCCATCTTGTAAGAGGTTCTGGTGACGTCACCATACCGAATGGCAGCCTAGTCTAGCTTCTCCCGCAGTAAGATATTAATTTTGCCTCGTTTAATTGCCAAATAAGAAATGTCTCTATAAAATTACAAATAGTTAACAGGGCGAAGATGGGAAGAAAGGATGGACAAAAGAAAAACATTGGCCCAGAGTCTACCAACGAATAAAATACGCCTATAATACTTCCCACCCTGAACTGGGCTTTAAAAAAGGCGCAAACACCACCCAGTTGGAAAGAGGCGATTATATCAGCTATACCAAAGGAAGGCAAGGACAAGATGGATTGTGGGTCATATCGACCAATATCTGTTCTCAACGTAGATTATCGGTTATTTACCTCGATTATCGCCAGACGTCTAGAAGAGATTCTACCCACACTGATACATAATGACCAGACAGGCTTCATACAAAAACGCCAAACGCAAGATAACATACGTAAGACATTACACATCATAGATAATGCAAAATAATAAAACTGAGGCAATAGTGATAAGTGTTGATGCTGAAAAAGCATTTGATTCAGTTGATTGGGATTTTCTATACAGAGTTTTACACAGATTTGGCTTTCATGATACTGCCATTAAAACTATACAGGCACTGTATGACAAACCTACGGCTAGGGTTAAAGTCAATGGATATTTATCAAATAGCTTCACCCTAGCAAGAGGATCCCAACAAGGTTGTGCATGGTCACCTCTACTTTTTGCATTGTACTTGGAACCATTAGCTCAATTCATTAGACAAAACAAAGATATAAGGGGAATTTTTATTAAAGAGAAGGAATATAAATTGGCCTGTTATAAGGATGATATCTTGGTTATCAGGATACAAGGTTAATATAGGTAAGACCCAATTGCTTAAATATAATTGGTAACACTTTATATTAAGGTACACAAATTAACCATCAACTAGTTGTTAATTAACATGCATATTAGCAGTAGGCTATATTGGCTCTTTATTAGTCATTATAAAACACTTATTAATGCCTTATTCTGCATGACCATATTCTACAAGTAATAAGCCATTAGTTGAGAGTTTTTCCTCAATAACCCTCTAATTAGTGCTTATTTATTGCAAGTAAGGAAGTTGTTGTAGGCCTACATGAGTTTTGGTCTTAATATGCTCTGTTCAATATGGGCCTAATAAGGCAGTAGTACCACAAGAATAGTAATTCTACCATAATAACACTTAACAAATATGATCTATTCTTAAAGGTAGGGTAGGTAAGTTTGAGAAACCGGCTCGAGATACACCTTTTGTTATATTCCATGGAATGCTCTTAACATCCCGATAGCAATGAATATCTTAAGTGCTTTGACAAAAAATCCATAATAAAATGTCATCTGTGGAAGCAGTAATACTGTAAAAAGCACGACCAATCATTTTAGCCGGCCCGGCTAAAATAACTGGATGGCCTACCTGCTTGTCAGCCTTCCATCTGTGCACAAACTTATCTCGTGCCCTCATTGGTCATGTGCGCGTTCGTGTGTGTTGGAGGAGGGGCTCTATAAGGAAGTGGCAGATTTTCTCCGGTTGTGTATTTTCAAATTCTAGCGATCTCGAGCCAGTTTCTCAAACTTACCTACCCTACCTTTAAGTAACAAGACATGAAACTATAAGTGTTAATTGTGTCTAAATAATTCAAAATTAGGTTTTTATATTGTAGAGCCGATGAAAGGGAGTCAGAGGCGGTGTGTTCAGTATGGAACTCCACACTTTATTTTCCATTTATCATCAAGACAAGGTAAGTACATTTGCTGCTACTGCATGTCAAGCTAGCATGAATGACACCAACCCCGGTACCCTCACTAACGGGTCCGTGTTGCAACACAATATTCCCAACGGTGAATTATGTCCCATAACGTGTCACCACAATATCTAAGAATAGCCTATGTTTTGGGGTATTGACAGTTCAGCTACCAATAGCAAGGTGATATTGACCTGTATGTTTCATATTTGCACATTTATATATTTGTAAAATGTGTACTGAAGGTTAGACAGAAACCGGGTACAGGAAGTAGGAGAAAGTTAACTGAATAGCATGGCAGTAGACATCCGAAGCGTCTCGGCGCAGGGCTCCTCTCACACACACAAACTAATTTTGCAGACCCTATCCCTCCGTAGTCTTTCAAGTAGGAGGAGAAATGCCAGCGTTCTCCTCCGGTTTACAGGCACTGTGTAAATTATATATATAGAATAATTATGATTATACCAAATGTCA